CTGATTAAAGATTTTGCTTCGTAAGCCATGAACATAAGCCTCATAAATACCTCAAATAAATAGTGATTTCAAATACGAAGTGATTCAAAGTTTATTTTTCAATTTTTAATTTTTTTACTAGCAAATAATAGCTTGACCGAGAAAGAGATAAAAATTACGTGAATTCCTCTAAATCAGCCTTTCCGCTTTCTTTTTGCTTTTCAAGTAAAATTAATCGGCTGTTCAAATTTCAACTTTAATAAATGTTAATTTTCCAAATGAAATTAAATCGGTTTACAAACCTGCCAAAGTTATTTGCAGTTATTATCAGTGAACTGATATACTTTTCTTCTAAACTTAATGAAATTATAACACATAGTTAAGAATATGAATCCTAAATAAAATATTCCCAGCGTTAGATGCATTCTTATTTAAACTTAATTTAAATATTTTTATAATTTTCTTATTTTTTTGTCGATTGACTTTGTTTATTTTTCTGAAATATAAGGCACACTTGACTTTTTTAAAACAGACAAATTGTGTCAAAATTCTGCCATATTTTTTCTTGAGTCCTTTCTCGAAAACGTTATTAGGTCAGCTGTGCATAATTCTTTTTCTTTGGAAGTAAATAATAAAACAACCCGTTTTTATTGCGAATACCATTAAAAAGCGATCCATCAAGTTTCTGATTTTTTTAAAGAAATCTTCAAGTTTCCTTCCTTCAGTTCTAGATGCAGACTTTGACGTGATTGAACTTTTCACCTCAGGAGAAAGTTATGTATCGATCACATTGTGTCAGGCGCGAATAACTTTACAAGAGCTTTTTCAATTTATTGAAATTTTAGTAAGAAAGCCAAAATCCGTTTTTGCAATATCAAGTTAGAAGTAAAATATATGAACAGAGCATTTTCTGAATGAAAAAATGTCTCTGAACTTCCCTTTTATTCATATTTTTTCCATAAAAATGCTGTCCATTATTATATTTCACAAGCAAACAATTAATGATGTACAAACACAAACAGTGATCATGATGCTGTATTATTTATAAGTATGTATGCGCGAAATCTAGTTCCATAAATGAACA